CATCTTACTTCATACGTGAGCAAAGAAACAGCTCAGAGGGAAGCAGATACGTGAGCAAAGAAACAGCTCAGAGGGAAGCAGATATGTGAGCAAAGAAACAGCTCAGAGGGAAGCAGATACGTGAGCAAAGAAACAGCTCAGAGGGAAACAGATACGTGTGGACTGGGTGAGGGTCCTGAGTGCGGCATCTGCTCCTTTCTGAGGGTGGGCAGAACCCAGTTCATCCGACTTATTTGCCAACAACGATTATGCAGACAGACAAGGTTTAAATGAGAATTTTACCCTGTTGAAATTCGCTCCTTTTACACATTCCGTGCTGAGCCCAAACTGAAGGTTTGTGATAAATTACAATTACTAAAATTTTTAATGTAGGAACATATGAAAACGAATGGGAACTACATATTCTGGGCTAACCTAGAATTTCTATTGCGCATAGTTTTGACTGTTTGGCACGCTCGTTTTGTTACGTGTGTTTGAGGATGAAGATTATCTTCGGTGTAACTTTTTTTTTTTCTACTGGAAATTAAATGGTGACTTAAAATTTACCAAAAAGAGATGACACTGATACTGCAAGAGAGGTAAAAAGGAGAAATATTAGAATGGGCACAGAATATGGATGCTGCAGTAGAAGCCAAAGAGGTTTTTTCCTCTCTTTGAGAAATCTAAACCATATGCCACCATGTCCAATGAAAATGAAGGTACAGGGTAATTTCATTGATTAAGAGAAAGAAAGAAACAAGTAAGATTATTGCTTATCTTCATCATTTAAGGCTTTGGAGATCAGAAGATATGTGATTTCTATTTTTCTGTCTTTCCTGAAAGACTGAGGCAGCAACAGCAAAAGGTTAAAAATAGCATTAAAAAAAGAAAAAAAAACATAAGTCAAGACTGCAGAGCATGGTTGGGGGAATGGGTCTCGGGGTCTGTGCAGAACGGAGATGTGCTGGACACTCACACCTGAGCCCCAACCTGCCTGTCCCCCCTGCCCACCTGACCGTCGAGTGTTCACGGATGCCCAGCTGGGACCCAGCGGAGGGGCTGAGGGCAACCCCACCTCTGCACATGATCATAGATGGGACCACTACGTAGTCGGTGGGAATCTCGTGCCCGTAGGAAACATGCCCAGGTTGGGAGGGACGCTCTCCCAGCAGACTGGATACTTTCCGGCGAGTGCAACTGCCCACATCCTGGTCATCGTTGCTCAGCCTCTGTGTCCTAACACCAGGCTTCTGTTGGGTGAGCAGGGAGAGACTCTGCATGCACACTCATTCCATCAGAATGGCATCTCCTGTGTTCACGTGTCACGTACTCATTCAGCAGATGCCTACGGAGAGCCCCCAGGAAGCGGGCACGACGAGAGGTGCTGGGTACCACCAGGAGGAATCGGCTTGGAGGAGTCTACACTCAGGAGAGGCAAGGTCATCGAGGTACCAAGGAACTGAAATATACTTTCTGGAGGCAATAAGCAGGCTGGGGTGGAGGACACCTGGGCTGTGTGGGTGGGATTGTTATCGTTTGCTGGTGACAGTTTCCTGCTGTCTAATTGCTGTCTGAAAAGGTGACATGGGACCAAACACGCCAAACCAGGAAGCTCCTTTCCTGGAGCTGACCCCCGACATTACCTGCCTTTATCTATTGTAACAACTCCCCAGCAAGTGTCCTTCTGGTGACCTACAAACAGAGTTTATCCCCAAGTTCCTTCCAGGAAATGACGCTGCGCAAATTAGAGTTACTACTCAAATTATGAGTATTGGATAAAATGTTTTTATGCCCACGTGGGTACGCAGTGATAAGTTATTCAGAGTAAAATGACCAAAGCTACGTCTGTGGTGTGGAATTGGCAGCTCGGAGTCTGCGCAGAAATGGAGCGGACCGGACAGCTGGCTTCTCAGGCCCATCCTGGCCCAGCCCCTCCCCGTTCCCTGGAGATGCTCTGACCTGGAGCTGCTAGTGGTCAGGGTGCCAGACCTGTCTTCCTGAGAGCCCGGCCGCCCGTGCTTGTCATGGCTCCGTGCACAGAAAAGGCAGGAAAACAAATATTCATGATTTAAACGTTCACCACGTCTTCCTGAAAGTGCAGATCCTGACAAGGGCCCCGGCTTACAAACAGATACCTGAAATATCAGAGAGGAGTTAGGTGATACGAAGGGGACAGGCAGGCCGCCGAGACGGGGAAGAGAGCCCAGGAGGTGGCCTCTGGCCGATACAGGGGGTTGGATGGTTCTGAGAGGAAAGGACTGAGTCTTGCAGGGCAAGGGAGAGAGGTGTTTGGGTGGAGCTGGGCTGTGCCACAGCCCCACGGGGAGAGGCCCCCCCGCGTGCCTGGGACATGGGGAGAAGCGGGGAGCTGACCCAAGAGGGCTGAGCCGGGCTCGGAGGGAGCGGGCACCGTGCGCCAGGGGAAGGGTTGGATTTTATACCGACTTTATCCT